AAACAATGGTCTGTGGCAGTTTAAAAAAACTCATTCAGATTGATATTGATTATTTCACAGGAAACTTCTACACTTTGAAGAGGGAAGCTGTAATGAACTTGGGTGTCATCTGCGTTAAAGTGCACTCTACAATCATTCAGATTATTCATGAGATTTGAAGTGTAAATTGCAAATAGAATTGGTCCCAAAATTGGCCCTTGTGGTATTCCCCGCTGAAGAGGAAGTAGATGAAGATGAGAGCACCTCATCAATTGCAACTCTCTGAGTTCAATTATTGAGGTAATTTATAGTCAATGTTATAGCTGCAGCTAACAGGCCAATGCTATATAATATAGATACCAACAACTCGATATCGATTCCAATGCTGAACATATTGGTGAGTTATATTTTTGAATTATAATACATTATATCATCAATCCGATTTTAGAGGGAATGACTATTTTCAATTGCAGAGGATTTTTATTCATCACTCTCTCTTTTTGGATGTTCAACGAATATATTTCAATTCACAATGATATTATGTACATATATTCACGTTTTTCCATCTGGAGATCGAAGAATACAAATTCTCAACTTGAGAAGATTCTGTTTTCAAATTTTCATCGTGTGTGTTCAATAGATATAATTCGATGTTCGTCGTGGGTAGAAAAGTAGTTGTTTTCTGTGGAATAAACCGAGAAAGAGTTGATATTTACATTATATAGATAATGCGAACACTAAATGTATTTCTTTATACAGTGTCATTCATGAAGTCGGCATCATATGGGAAAAACTTTTATTAATGACTCATTTTAAATTCGAGTTGGACGTTGAGTTTTGCTTCAAAAAAGATGAAAAATGGCCTACTCAATCGGGATCACGTGACTTTCGCTACATGTCAAAAGTGAAATTTTTTTTCAAATTAATCGCTGAAAGTAGGCTTATTTGTTCGAATATCGAAAAAGTTTACTTGAAAAAGTTGTTTATATTTGAATTTTACATATGTGACTCGGACTTTATCTTTCTATTACTTTTTTAGATTTCGATATTTTTTAAAAATTTTCGAAATTTCTGTAATATTAAAAAAATTGTGAATTCGATAAAACTACTTCATACCAGTAGTTTTATCATGCTACTAACTTTCAATTACTAATTATCACTAATTATCGACAAAGATTTGATTTTCTTCAGAAAATGTTAATCTCCGCTACAAAATTCTGTTATGTTTGATGCAAACATAACATCAAAATTCTGTTATGTCTGAGTCGAGCATCAAGAAACGAAATTCATTTAAATTTATTTTTTCAGTTCTGAAAAGATCAGTTTAAATGAATTTTGTTTCTAAATGCTTGACGATATATCAACTTTGCATCAAACATAACAGAATTTGGAAGCGGGTATTATCATTTTCTGGAGAAAATCATATTTCTGTCCATAATCAGTGAAAATAAGTAATTGAAAGTAAGTAGCATGAAAAAGCTACTGGTATGAAGTAGTTTCGTGGAATTAACAATTCTCCAAATAATACAGAAATTTCGAAAAATTTAAAAAAAAAAATCTTGAAGTTGCAATAGAATGATCAAATTGAAGCATGTGTAAAATTGAAATAGAAACAGCTTTTTCAAGTAAACTTTTTCGATATTCGAACAAATAAGCCTACTTTCAGCGATTAATTTGAAAAAATATCACTTTTGACGTCACGTGGCCCTTATTGAGTAGGCCATTTTTAATCTTTTTTGAAGCATAACTTGAGGTCCAATAAGTCATTAATAAAAGTTTTTCCTATAGGATGCCGACTTTATGAATGACACTGTATATAATTACATATCCTCTTTCTCATGTTCATACTGTATCTGGGAATATTCCTTCTCAAGGACAATGTAATACTCACAAATGTTGCATATGTTCCAACATTATTGTGAAACCTCATATGTGTGAACACAATCACGAAAGAAGGTGAAATAGCAGTATTCACAAAACATGATGTCATGAGAGCATATAAGGTGAAATAACATATGATGAAAATGATGCTGCAATGCAATTATGCATTATAGAATTGAAAGATCGGAGCATCACATATGATCGGGAAGTATGCGTTCTTACTCGTCTGGACTTCACCTGGTGTGTACCTTCTTCGACAGGAAGATGAAACTCAAAATCACCTCGAATAGTTCATAAAAAAAGCTGAAGCTCATTTTAATATAAAAACTGAGATGATGAGATGCGACAACGAAGGCAAATGGAGAAGCAATGAATTCGGAAATAGGTGCAGAGAAGGAGAGATTATTTTGGTATGGACTATCCGACATTCACCCTAACTGAACGGAACAGCCGAAAGAGTGGATGTGACCCTCATGAACCAAGCACATGCAATGCTATACAAATCTTAGCTGAACTCACAGCTGCGCATATTGATTCAACAGAAGACCTACATCAGCTGTAAAAAACACTCCAGCAGAACCATGGTAGGTGGAAAAAGCTGATTAGTTGAACCTTTCAGAAATTGGGTGAAAAGTATGTACTGGAAATTCAAAACAGCTGAAAAAACTTGGAAATAGAAGCCGAGAAGGAATCTTTGTAGGATATTCGCCAAACGGGCACAGCGTGTGGAACCTTCAGGCCCGAAAAATATATGTCTGAAGAGACATTAAATTTCAAAATCATTTCGAGCAAGTGGATGGAGAAGGAAGAGTAAATATTTTTAATCATCCATCAAGAACAAGGAAACATGAAACAAGAGGATGAACAATAAGTATGGAATGAAGAAATATTTGTAGAAAACCATCAGCAAGAAAGAAGACAACTGCGGAACAGAAAACAACTGAGGAGACCAGATGAATACAGAGACCAGAAACATCAAGATAACACTAAAGAATCTATGTTCAGTGTATGAAGCGAACTGATAGTAAGATGGTATCAATTAAAACAATCATCTTTCGGATACTGGGTCGATTTTTGAAGCAGAGGTGTGAAAAATCCTATTGATATAGAAATGAGTAATGCAAAAAGAACATTGAGATACATTGAAGGTAATAGGGCATTTAACATTTCGTACACGATGTGTGAAGCTAATAATGAAGAAAAAGAACCAGTATAGCGAGCATTGTTTCATATTGACAATGCAGGGGACGTCAAAGATAGGAACAGCACATCAGCATCATTATGTATAATGACCTCTCCCTTGTAGTTTCAGTAGGGATGAATAAAGGCCACAATTCTCGTCTTGATGATTATTCCTTGTTCTTTGTCGAAAAATGTTCCAAAATACTGATAACTTTTTGAATTGACTATCGAATGGCGCTTCATTTTTTGTCTTGATCCAGAAAAATCAAGATATCTTGAAAATTCTCGAATCAACGATAGACAATACGGCTTTCGCCACCGAAGATCTACTGGAGATCTACTCGCCTACGTCACCCATTCATGGCAAGCTTCATAAGGAAAACACGGGGAATCTCTGGCTGTCGCGCTAAACATATCGAAAGCATTTGACCGTGTTTGGCACGAAGGACTCCTCCAGAAACTACCATCATACGGCTTACCACCTCAACTATGCCAACTTTTATCGAGTTTTCTTTCAGGCAGATCGCTTCATGTGGTGGTGGACGGTGTATCGTCTGATAAACTTGGCATTAATTCCGGCGTTCCACGAGGATCAATTTTGGCACCAACATTATTCCTTCTTCATATCAACGATCTGTTGGGAGTAACAACTTGCCCCATCCACAGCTTTGCAGATATAAGTATCCACCATACTGCGTTCTCTTCCAGATTTCCCATTTCTTCCCAGGAAACTAAGAATTCACGGCGCAGGCAGGTCAATGCTGTCAATGAAGACCTTGCTTAAATCACAGCCTGGGAAACCAACAACCTAGTCGAATTCAACGCCACCAAAACTCAAGCCTGTATTTTTTTTAGAAAGGCAAAACTCAGTATGTCCGACATTGTAATGTCTCCGAAAATCCCTGCTATCATCCCTTCACTAGCAATATCAGTCAGACGAACTAGACAAGACCAGTTAGCACATATTTTCGTTGTCAACCTCGAAAGATGTCGAACAGCACTTTATCAAAACTCCTTCATCCATAGAACGGCTAGGCTCAGGATTTCATTGTCTGAGGAAGTATTCCCAACAACATATAATCTCCAGGAGTTCAAAAAAAAATCCAATACCTACCTCCTATACATATCTCCCCTAGGAAGCACGATGTTGTTTGAATATTATAGGGATTCCCTCTCGTGCGCTCCAAGCGATAAAAAAATAGTTGAACATTCATTACTCTAGGATTTTAGTCGACTGCGTTCTCAACCCAAGTCAATTCAGACATTTGACATTTTATACAAGAGAACCAGAGCTAATAATGGAGAAAGAGAACCAGTATTGAGAGCATTGTGTGATGCTGACAATGCTGGGGATGTCAAAGATAGGAAGAGCACATTAAAATACATCATTATGTATGATGATGGACCTTTTGCTTGGAGTTTCAGTAGGAACGGATCCAGGAAAGAATTCTTGTTTTGAGGGATAGTTCTGGTTTTGTCTCGAATGATGTTTCAAAAAATTGCTGATTTTCTGTCTTGGTTATTTATTGGCACTTCATATCTTGTCATGATCCCAAGAAATCAAAATATTCATCTTCGAAATTTTTGGAATAGTTGAACTTCCATTACTCGAGGAATTAGGTCGACCGTGTACTCAACTATTCACCTTTTGAAAACTGAAGTGGATGGAACAGCGTTCTATGCTTGTTTTGGTACTCTCCATCACGATTCCAGAACGGTTCTGCTCTTGCGCAGTTGTGTTCTCGATCAGTTTTCGTAGTTGAACGGAGCGAGAGCAGGACGATCTAGAACGGTTTCTATACGAATCAAAACAAACTTCCTGGTTCGATATGTGTGAAATACACCGCAAGTGATAATTAACTTCGAGAGAAGATACCTTGCCTAGTCCAGATCCAGATTTGTATTGGTTGCATGGGTATAAGCGGGCTTAGCTTGGGCGATATAAGTTTCGAGTTGAATTACGCATTGTTACCTATACTAGTATTCGTGCTCGACTTGTGCACCTGATGATCCTGCGTAGGTGTGGATTGCAGCACTGATGCATGAAGAAATATGGAATCTGATAGGAGTGTTCCGATCAAATCAACGGATCTACGAAAAGAAATACGATTCAAAAGGCAAGAATGGGGTTCATGAAGTGGATAAATGTAGATTATGTTATGTCTGACGTGAATGTTATCAACTCAAATGATATCATCCCAATAAATGTTTGCATCAGTTTCAGGAAGCTCATGGTTTCATTTTATTCCCAAGGGTTTGGATCGATTTTTGATGATGAGAATATTTCTTTTGTACTTTGGTTATTACATTCTAACCATACATATTCCATAATCATGTGAGCATTTATGTGAATGTATGTTCCGATAAATAATTGTTCACATTCCTTTTATACTATATATGAGCTATTTATGTATGTGTTTAGTTGAGAGTGTTAGAACAGCATTTTTGCAAGACTATTTTGTACCAAGAAATATGATGATTTCTTCATGGGTTTGCTAGAGAATCTTGTTCTTGAATCTGCGTTTTTTGTCTTGTCCTGATTTCTCTTGAGATTCATTCACCATTACTTGTCTCCATTTCTCTTGAATTTTAGACGAGAACAAGACAAGAACCAAAATATTTCAAAAAATGGCCTGTTCCTTAGTTTCAGGCAGCAAAATATTGTGGCATTGTCTACAACCAGGGCCTACTCTATCTCACCGGGCCGGAGCATCGCTTTCGTGACGTCACACTAGTAGGGACAAAATCAAGGCAGTGGAAATCGTCTCTCCCGTTTCTTTGATTTACCTCGGGAAAACGGCCACAGTTAGCGAAAAATATCAAGAGGTCAAATATGTACAGAAAAGAATTTTCCAGAAGATGAATCAAATTTCACTGATTTACGATCATTAATTTCAGAAATATGGCATATCAAAATCAATTGACGCCATTCAGAATTGCCCTTTTTCAAACAGCTACCAAAATTCCAATATCCAATTTACAGAAATGATTCAACCATGAAAAGATTTCGCATAGTATCTAGATTGACTGAGATTTTTCTTCAAATTCCCAAGGGCCAACAACAAACCGATATTTCAATTCAAGTAGAACGATGATTCAGGTGTTCATTACAGAATAGTTCAAAAAGTTCGGACGCCTCCCATGCTAATCCTATCAACAATGGATATATGCTGTCACTGACTTTTTTGTAGGAAATTTGATTGCCTACAAATCGGTACAATACACATCCACTTTATCTCGAAGGGTTTTAGCAGCGTTTATCTCTGAAGATGATCAGGACGCACTTTGATGACGTTAGAAATCCTATCACTCGAGTGTGTTATTACAGAAAAACGCCTATTCGTTATTATTTATTTTCTGCTGAAGAGTATACATTCGAATGATAACGTTAAATTCATGAAAAAAAATCGATTCGAATATATTTGCAATGTATCAAAATTAAAAAGAACAAAATATGTGGAGTTCATATGAACACAACCTAACAAAAATAATTGAAAAAATATGTATCTCAACAATGAGAGATATGAAAATGTTTATAACGACTTAAATAACAAAATACCCAGAACAACGATATATGAATGAATAAGCAAAAAATAAAATAAAAAACGTCGAATCCTTTTACACAAACAAAACCAAATAAAATAAACTGTATAAATGATCAACATAACAAAATGAAACAAATTGATAGATATCACAAAATGAAATACACTAATAACGAAAAATATATATACATCATCTTAATCACAAACTAAATATTGAAATCTGACTATATCTCATCTTGAAAGTTTAGTGATTTTTCTTTTTCAATTTTTTTTTATTTTGCGATAATTGTTCAACAGAATATTTGAAATGGTTTTAGAGAATGTTCTGCTGATTAAATCAAAAGACCCACACTGCAGAACTGCAACATATTGATTCTCGGAATAATTGAGAAGGGAATTGATTTTAATTTCTGCTAAATTCTCCAAAACTTCATGTTGTGACTTACATTGTAGAACTATTGCTTTGAATTTTTCAGACACCAATATTAGTTGGTCTGAACCATACGCCATTTAGAAATAATATGAGTAATAAAAAGTATATCGCCCTTTACCAGTCCAAGGAATTACCGCAAAATCGTAATACAGCGAAATTTGGGTAGGTATAGGTATAATGGCCCATTTTTCTTTCGGACTCATTGTAGGTAGCTCTACAATTTTTTCACTATTCAATTGATTCATTATCGTAGTTTGATATATTGAGTTAGTTTCCTCTTATTCCAACTCCAAATTTGCAAAAAATAGTATTCGGTAGTACAACGTCCTGATTTTCAATAAAATGGAATTTCGTTACAACGCCATAACTCGGTATTGATTCATCCTATTGGATTCATTTTTTCACCAAAAGTTGAGGAATTTGTTGGGGATCATTTCTTCTCGATTGAGTGTGCTTCTAAAATTTATAGTAAATGAGCTATAGCCTATCAATTACCAACGCATCAGTACGGACTGATGTGAAATCTCAACCTACTAGTGTGACGTCAGCGTCGAGAGAGAGGGGATAGACTACGGCCCGGTAAGATAGAGTAGGCCCTGCTACAACTGAGGCAGAATTCATCTCAGCTGCTGATTGTTTCAAGGAAGTCGAACGCTTGAGGAGTATCATCTTGAAGATGACTGATCCAAATGAAAAGAATCATCCAAGTGGATAACGAGAGTGCTGAAAAACTCATGAAATCTTGTCAATACAAAAAAAGGATTGAGATCATTTCGATGTTCGATATCATTTCATCTCACAACACAAAATTTCACAACAAATACCTCGATAACAGACATTTCCTCACTGAGAGACAAATAGCAGACATATTGACAAAACC